TTCTTTATACATTTCTATAGGTCTCTTTCTTCCTTTCCCCCTCTGCATCCCCTTCTTCCCCTTCACCTGGGTCTGACATCAGCATTTTGCATAATTTCTGGGAAAAACATTTGTGTGCTGGCACAGAGAGGATGCCATGCTACTGCACGTGAGACAGTTTGCATTAATGCACATTCTGGCTGCAAGGCCTTTAATATTCATTCCGCAGTCAAGAGTAATTGAAAACACTCACTTGACTATTTACAGTTCAGGAGTGGGTAGGATAGTATGAAGTACGCTGCCGGAGTGCTGTGGGTGAGAGAAGAAAATGACAGTCACTTTGGGGAATCGGTTGCCTCTTCTTGCTTTTAAGGTTCTGATCAGCCTTCAGGGAGCTGTTCACCATCTCACCTTCCAGGCGGTTCAGTACAGTTGGAGGATGCTCAGCAACTCCCAGAAGTTCCTTTACATTTTACATGCCCTAAAGGGGTAATCCTAAAGGTCTCAGAATCACTTTTTTTAGACCAGCAGTTCATTTATGCAGTTGTCACCAAGTACAGTGCTGAAAAAGGCTTTTTTTATCAATGCCAGTGTGTTCTGTGCCATTAATAGCACAATTCATAGTCGATGGTACACCTATAACCAGATCAATACACTTACACTGTGAAGTTCCCATGAAATGTGACATAAAAATAACGATAAGAGCCAAACCAACATGGTTTATATAATGTCATCTGATGACTAGGATATATATGTAACAGGCTTACAAATATTATTAAACAGCCTAGGCATAAAATCTGTTTGACGTGACCCTAACTTTAATGATTATCCACTTGTCAAAAAGCAAAGACTAGCCATTGGTGAGTAGAACCTTGCAAAGCCGGTATTTTTCTTTTGTATTGCTCAGTCTTCCTATTTTGCATTTTTATACTGTTAACAGATGTTTTTTCTTCTTTGTTCCTACAGAGAGCACATGGCACCTCTCTTCTCTCCTAAAAATGTACACCTACATTGGCCGCAAGATTTTAGCTTCTCCTTTAAAAACTAAAAAGGTTACTCAATAGGAATAAAAATTCCCATAACATAACATAACAATAAAGGTAAAGCCAATGTGACTACAGATAAAAGTTGTTGTAAACAATACTCAGTTGTGAACTTTGGAATTTCAGAAATCATTGTTATTTTTTTTTTCACTCCTAGAAGGAAGTACTTCAGAATTGTATGTAAAATGAGATGATAAATCACATCCATATTAAGATATATATATTGCTAAAATACTTTCAAGTATTGATCCATTGTGTACAGCTGAGGAGAGAAAGAATATGTGTCCTATTGCAGGAAATTATTGTACTTCCATAGCCACCAAAGGATCACTGACAGAAGGATAAATTCTTTTATCAGATAACCTCATATTTTCTGCCACAGATGTTTGGAATATGTTAAGATTTGTTGTAAGCCATGGTCTGGTTAAAATGATCTGTTCAAGGTTCTTCATTATGCTATTTGTAACTTACATTTTGAGGTATTTCTTTATGAGTTTTATTCTCATGCAGGTAGATTATAGCATTAACAATGTTATAAAAAGCATTAAAACCATTTCATGTTTCCAGGCCTAACCTAGAGCCACACTGGTGATTTCTGGAACAGGCCATGTATCCATCTGCTGCTGAAAATACTCATTGTCCCTCTTTATTTTATGAAACAATCTGATTAATATCAATGTTTGAGGTAAAAGAAGAGAAGGACTGTTCTGTTCCACCTAAGGGAAAATCAGGACAGACATCACCAAAAAATTCTGTACAGAAACTGATAGCTGCAAAAATACCTTCTTGTCAGTTAGAAAACTTTTTTTCAGTAGCAAGAACTAGGTAAGAAGAGTGAGAAAAATTCCTTTACTCAGAATCTCAATTCAAATATCCAATATTATGTCCCAGACATCAGGTGTTGAATCATGCAGGACACCTCTACGCCAGATACTGTCTAGAGTAAGATGGCTCCTATCACCTTTCCCACACAAACAGGTCCTTGAAACTACTGTGCCATTTAGTCATGCTTTAGGCTGACGGTTTAAAATGCTTTCCCAGCCCAGAAATAATAAATACTTTAAATACTTCTCCTCTGTGAAGTATTGAGGGAAAACAAATGCATATCTTGTTCAGCTGCTACATTCGTTATTTAGCTAGGATCTGAAAATGGAGGAAAATTTTATTCTATTTAGTATTTACTGTAAACACGGCAGTCACTTAAGTGAGATATTTTATTATAAAATGCTTCATAAAAAATGCATTAGTGTTGAGCTTCATAGATTAAACAATTTTGAAAGCACGGTTTGTACTTGTACGCAGAAACTGGACACTTCTGATCCCATTACGAAAATGCACTTGACCCTTATTTTTCTTTCCTTATGAGGCCTGAATTTTAATGAGGCCTTAAAGTCCTCACTCATGCCAGTACACTGCATTTCCTGTTACCGCTTTTGTTCTCATGCGGCATTTCATTAAAAACTTCAGCTGAATATGAAAATGAGAGCACTGCATAAGTCTGGTTCCATTTGTTGACAAAACTTGTAAAGAAATATTTTTATCTTTGTTATGAAACATTTCTCTTTTATATATATTCATATATTTACTATAGAAATGCTTAATATGTCAAAAAGCAGATTAGTTGAAAAGTGCATCTCCAAGACCATCAGCTATAGTTGAAGTGAATTGAGCGTGTAAATTAAAAAGGTGTTGTTGCTAAGTGGAAAAATGAAAAAGTTGAGGCCTGATTAGATCCTGCATCAACGACTTGTATTTTACTTTGCTTGGTGATATTCATGAGTAACTCCATCGCTGTGAATGGAGCTACACTGGGTGTAAACCATAACCCTGAAAACTCATCTCCCAGAATTTCCTTTGCCTCTTCACCAGAGGTCTCTGTCTGGCGGGACACTGCATGTGCCTGCGCCCAGCACAGGATGCTGCAGGACTGGGACCGGAGCATTCACCGCCTCCCTCTATGCCTCTGGAAAGCCTTCCTCTAGCAAAGGTCTCCCATTATTGCACTCTGTTTGTAACTTAAAAAATAGAATTAAGTCTTCTGCAAGAATGGTGCCATATCCTCTAAATTGCCTGACAAGCAGGGAATGCGCAGGCAGCAAACTCAGAGCAAACACGCCTTGCTTTTACAGGCTCTTCAGGGGAAAAGCGATGTAAAGTCTCTTGTCCTTCACCATGTTGTTAATTACAGTTTAAATGGTCATCTGGACTGCACCTTGTAAAAATTGTAAAGGTATCATCCTAATTTTAATTTGCATTAGAGGATTGATTGTAAAACTTTAATTATTCTAAGAGACTTCCCACAGAATAAAAAGCTATGTTAAATCAGAGGAGCTGTAGAAGAGGTGTATTTTGTAAAAATATAGTCATAAAATTTTATAGCACACATATGTATGTATTTATATACATATATGTTCATATATATGTGTGTATATATAACTGAATTATCTTTTATATGTAGTTCTGGGATGTATTAAAAATGTTGAATGCTTAATTCTCAAAATATATTTTATTAATTACATTTTCAAATATTCTCTTTAGAATGCAAACTGCATTGCTGTTCTCAAATGAATAATTAAATTTATATTTTAAATGGTGCCATTAATGAATATTTACAAAAAGAAACACCAATTGGAGAAACATATTAATAATTTACTAGAAAGGAAAAAAACCTCTCTCTGCTCATTGACCCCTTAAAATATATTTACCTTTTATTATTTCTTTACTCTAAATAGAAATTTAAATGTTTACTTTAGTGATTTATCAAAATAATGTGTTTGCAAATAATATTTATTAGTAGCATTTATATCTTATATAATGTTTTGCATCTTTTGAGGCAGGAAGGTAAGTTTTATTATTTTCATGACTTTACAAGTTGAGGAGCATTTTGAATTTTGCATTTGCAAGGTAACCTTCCAGCAGAAAGGTATTTTTTGATGTTCATATATTCCTAGTGCTTCAGGCACATTCTGCCTCATCAGAAACTTCATGTGGTCGTAGCTGAAGTAGTTTCAATGTTAACCCACGGTTCCCAGCACACGCTGCCTCAATTTGAGTCCCAACAGAGACTGAATATTTGGCACCAAGCTGCGGACAGCTGTGTGTGTCTGGGAGGAGCAGAGGGAACTGTGTGGAAGATGCAGCGGTCCCCCCCCGCTATGTGTGAAGGAGCCTCCACAATTCATCAGAGAAAGGAAAAATGGAGTCTGAGGTAGAAGGCTAGGAGGTTTTCGCAGGATCAGAGAGGGAAAATGACAGCAGTGATAGGATGAAAAATGAAGCACTCTCGTCTCCCGCACTCTGGGCCTTTGTGTCATTGATTTTTACATGGATTTCCCCATTAAAATCAATGGGGAGTTCTTTTTAAATACTGAGGGCAAGATATAACCTATAGTCTTTATAACTTAGAGGTTTCAAAAAGGAAACGGTTCGCAAGCACTTGTTCTGCTGGATTCAGCCTAAAAATTAAGCAGTTTGTTAACCAAATTATTATTATTTCACATTGCCACCATTCCCAAAGATGACTCGTTATCTCTGTTGAAGGCTTCTTCAGCCTGAAAGATGAGTGCAGAAATAGAAGTCCTCTGGAGGAGCAGCAGGCTGTGCTGTAGAACAGCAATGTCTAACACCCTCACAATCATTTTCTGGTGTGGTTTGCACTGGTTAAAAATATAGGAATAAAATGTCTGCATTTGAATAATTGTTTTTGTCCCGTGTCATAAAGCTGATTTATAGTATGTGTCACTACACTGAATGTTGGTTCATACAATAAAATCATGTTTGAAAATCTACAGAAACAAATGTAAGTGTTTATTAAAAGCTGAGTGTAGCAAAGTTAAGTTGATGTTAACTGCCATGATCACTTGCCTAATTCTTACCAGCAACTTCCAGGTATGTTTAGGAACATATTGCATGAGACAGTATGTGACTTTTGAGAAATGTCTACACACAAGCTTTCATAAACCTTTATTCTGTCTTTAGAATTTGGAATGATGGGAGATCATACAATTAAAAGTCAGCGACCTCGATCTGTTCATGAGAAAAGGGTCCCTCAGGAACAAGCTGATGCTGCTAAATTTATGGCACAAACTGGTAATACATCAGTTACATTTTTCTATTTACTGTTGTTAATTTTAGCAAAACCACTGCATGTTTCCATAATCTTTTGCTGCATATTTGTCAGTTTTCTAAGCTGATACTTTTTTTGAATCATTTATTTTTTTTTCACCAGTTAAAGTCCATAAATAAAGTAGCTGAGAATTAGGTAGATCATACAAAAACATGCACTGTGAATGTGGATACTGAATCATTTGGTGTAAGCATGAATTTCTTTAGTGGTAAAAGCAGTCTCACACGTACAAGACACAGGACAGCTTACTGTGACATACTAACTTTTTTTCAAAGAAGATGTTAAGAACATGCTTCAGAATTTCTTTATAAGTAGACTGAGGTCTAATCCCAGCTTTAGGCGTTTATCAAATTAATTAATTACTAGGGTGACTCTAATGTGCATACATTCAGCATTTACTATCTTTGGCCCAGCACAACGCTCTATTCTCTAGTTTCCAGATTCGTAACTGCTAAATGAAATTGGCCGTAAGTAGTTTTTAATTGGATGTGCAAATTATCTAACAGTTTTTCATCTAAACATATTTTGTAATTTTGTTTGAGCAGCTTCATCTTCTTTAGATAAAGATACCAAAATGATATTACAAACCTAGAGCTGAAGTAATTTAAAAAAAAACAAAACAAAACAAACAAAAAAAAAAAAAACAAAAAAGAAGCCTGTTTACCAACAGTTACCACAGCTGCCTTTGAGGTCAATGATAAAATTTCAGTGGTGAGTTGAATTAAGCTCTCATACACCAAAACTGCTGTCCATTTTGGCATCAGTAATGATCCGGGTATCTGTTGGTAAAATCTAACTCTTTAATGGTTTCCCTACACACTCCATTCCAGTAAGTTACTGCGTGGAAAAGTCTTTTGCCCCGTAATTATTGTATGGATTTGAAACAACTTACTCTGTATTCCATAGTTACTAACATAGAAAATATGCCTGCATCAGTCATACATAATGCTTCCAGTTTATATTCACTTTAGTAAAAGAGCTATAATTGCTTTTCGTTATGTTGCATGTTGACTTCCTTAGTAGTAGGGTGCTTTACTTAACAGATTTGCAGAAATCAATATATTAAGTAATCTAAATACATGTCCAGCCAACCAGTGTAGATCTGTTTGGTAAAGAACTTCGAAGGGGAAAAAGTCTGTTTCCCTCCTATTAATCTATAGGACTACTTTTATGGCTAACTCCCAGTTGATACTACTGTAAGCAAATGTAGTGGAAGAAGGGAGCCTAGAACCCTCTTGGTCTCCATGCAGTTTTTGTTTAGGCAAGTAGAACTTATTACTTACATACCTAGCTCAGACTTATAATGTTAGTTGCTTACTACATAGAATAACACCTTTGCTTTTATGCTGCTTCTTGAATTCATACAATTACTCAAAAAAAATAAGATGATCTGTTTTATTTCCTCATGTAAATCCCTAAAACTTTCATATTATCAGGTAAAACTTGTATTTGATAATTTATAGTCATGCATTGCAGTGCATCTATTATGGGTGTTATAGAACAGCTCTTATACCATCACCTTCTGATAGATTGTGTGTGTGGAGTGGGATATGAACGTTCAAAATTACACAAGCTTGGTTTTCAAGGTCCTGTTCTGAAAGCATGTGAGATGTATCAGCACAGCATATAAATTTACATGCCCAGCTTTGAGGAAATCTGTATTTTACATCCCGTAGGTTAACACATTTTAAGTAATACTGCGCTCTTTTTGGACATACTTACTAATTTTCATCTCTTCTTCATTTTGATTTTCCTTTGTAGTGATCATTGCATATTTTCTTCACCTCTAATGCATTCATTTTCTTGTGATATAATTAATGTGGTATCTTCTTAAACTGATTCATAAGGTTTTTTCTAACATATCTGTCTTATTAATTTACCCATATACTAAGAATCATAATAGCCTTTAAAGTAAATGGATAGTGAGTTTATGAGGTTTCTTCTATTTTAACCTTTTTTAATATATTATTTTGTGTAATAATAAAACAGATGCAAAAGTGCAACAAAATGTTTGTATGGTTTAAAAAGGCAGAGAGACAGGAATAGAAAATTGTCCTGGAAAAGATTTATGAAAAGCATTTAATGCTGTTAGAATAGTGGACCTAATCCACTCAGTTTTGATGGGAATGGAAGAGTTTTAAACGTGGTATTAAAATATGCATTTTCCTGTTTGTTTGCGATATGAGGCAGTAAAACATTTTATTTAAAAAGTATTGTCTGAATAATTTATTGTCCTATATTTGTCATTTTATGTGTTTGGACTGATCCTTCCCTTAGGTGTTATGGGATTTAGAGAGTATAATACAGGTAAGTGTTACACAGATCAATGAGGCCTTCCGTACAGTAAGTTATGTTTCCTCTTACACGTCAAGCAGCAAGGGAGAATTAGGGCTTGGTAGCTTGCCAGTAATTAATTTGAGATTGTAGGTTTAATACGACAGATATAAAAATTTAAGAGTTCTCAAGTAACTGAAAACTAAAAGGACAATAAAAAGTAGCCCTTTTGAAATTTTCATTTCAGGAAAGAAAAAAATGTGAAAGACATAAAGAAAATAACGGAAGATGTATTTGCAGGTTATGTAAGCAATCTAGGTTTATTCTAGAAAATAAAGTAGTCTTTATTTACTTAAATTAAAAATGGTTAACTATGGTACGATAAGTCTGTGAAAATGTTTTCCTCCTTTAAAATATTTTAAAATAAGTACTATCCATACTGACAGCAGTAGAAAATACTCTGAAAAAATAAAAATTACCAAAAAATCGTAAAGCATTGTGCAAAAGGAAGTAAAGCAGCTGGTGAGATAAATTTGTTCTTTATTTTCTCTGATTTCATTCTTTTTGCACCATACATCATGTTAGCGTGGAGGATCTTGTTCCAGCATATGTTTAAGACTTCTATCCTTTACATATGTTGAAGTATATCAGTAGATTCTGCCTTCTGTGAATGGACAGTACATATATGCTCAGTACTTTTAATAATTAATATTAATTTCAAAATCCACTCAAGAAAGTCACACTTCTTAATATCACGTTACTGCTATTTTTCATCATATTCCAAGGGTTATGAGCAATTTTTTATCACTTTGGAATATCCAAAATGTTAAATTTTTAATACTTAATTTCTGTATTTTATTAGATATGCACTGTCACCATGTCTGTTGGATAATAGATAATTTATACTGAGTATATATGACTGTTTTATATAATGAGGAACATCTCGAGAAACATAGCTTTGACATTTTGTGCTGTCTGACCTTTCATCTAAACCATCTTAACAGAGGCAAATTCAAACTTCAAACATGTAGGAAAAGACAAAATATATTAGCCTAGAAACCCATAGCAATACAGGTATTTTTAACATGCACATAGGGCTTATAGTACATATTTTATAATTGTTACTGTCTCCCTAGATTAGCTATATTTAACGTATTATATCATCCAACCTGAACCCAATCCATGTAACGACCTAATCAAAATGCCAAATTCATATCAGAAAAATGATTAAAATAATAATCAGTAATTAAATTTCTCTTTTTTTTCACCTAAAAAATAAAGAAAATGACTACAAAAACCACTGGTGATTTTTTTTTTATGTAAAAAATCTCATCATTTCGTTCTTGTCCATATAAGTTGTTAGAATTGTACATAATTTTATGAAAAGCAGCGGGATTTGTGTGCTAGTTATAAAGCATTCTGTCTTGTTATTGAATAAGTAAGTACATTTTTTTTAAAAAGCATTGAATAGCCTTAGCATTGCTTCTTAGAGGACTAGCAGAGACAAGTATTTTGCAAAGGTTTCATGCTTGGCCTGTGGAAACAAAAAAGAGAGCTTGGACAGATGCTTGCTACAAAAGCAGAGTTTCAAGAAATAGCGTATAATTTACTGCATTCTTGGAAGATAGCACCAGAGTCTTCCTGGTTTGCAGACATTCCCTTGATTGCGACCAATATCAAAACTTTTGGAAGACTAGAGGTATATTGAGATAACTGAAATTTTAAGCAAGCTATTCCAGAGGGAAAGTGGAATCATGCCACTGATTTTAAAGCAGAAAATCCCATTTGTTTCAAAAAGGACTTAGGTTTAAAAATCAAGGGTGTAATAGAGGCTTCAGCACGCCATTTTATACTGATTTTTTAATGGAAGAAGGTGAACATGAATCCACAAGTATTTACTCAAATTGTTCAGTGATGCATATTCACATTATTTTTGCATTTGCTTTCTGAGAATACTCAAGGGATCCAGTTTTCTGAACATGAATGCCTTTGGGAAAGCAATTCCAGAATTGTGTGTATGGCTGTTCATAGATACTAAATTTAAGCATTCTTCCCTGAACATCCATGCAAGAAGACTTTATGCACTACTTGCTTTTAAAAAGAACCAAAAAAAAATATAATGTGCTATCTCAACAATAAAAAAAAATTACATTATTCAAATGTATGGTACTAATAAATGACATCTGACAATTTTGAACATAGCGGTATGTATTATACGCAGTAATGAGGTCTAGCGCATCCAAGAGTTTAGCACACCTGTAGGTCAAAAGCAAGGAGCAGATCTGTGCAGTAAATGATCCAACCAAAGTTCCCATCCCACCGTTCAGGTTAAAATCTGGTAAGCAAAGTGCTTCTCATTTCCAGAGAACTTCTCTCAAATGCTTGATGACTCTCCTTCACTGAAGAAAAGATAAAGCAATTAGGGGGTTGGTTTGGGTGGGTTTTTTTAATCCGAATTCCCTTATTGGTAGAGTTCCTTAAACTATTGCCTAGCCTTCATCCTAGAGTGATAAATATAAATATCGAAGATAAATCCTTTGCTATTATATAAAAAGAATTGTCTATGTTCTTTTAGCATCCTGAGGGCAGTCTTGTTTCTAAAATGTTGAAGGGCAGTAGTTCTTAAAAAGTTTTAAATGATGCTAAGCGATCAAAGTGTTTCCCTCTGACAGGCGCTATGTGACTGCAGCATTCTAGGTGTCTTTATTTTCTATTCATTGTACGTTTTCACAGCTGCTTTACTCCATGAACTTTTAAATATTTATTTTGGTGTGGTACTTTTTTCTTTGATTTATAAGAGCAGACTATAACGAGGTTCAGAAAAAAAAAAAAGTCTCATTAATACTTATGTTCATGTTTGTTTGTTGTCTTGAATACAGGTGAATCTGGTGTTGAAGAGTGGGCCCAGTGGAGTACGTGTTCAGTTACTTGTGGTCAAGGGTCGCAGGTGCGAACCAGAACTTGTGTATCACCTTACGGGACACACTGCAGCGGCCCTTTAAGAGAATCAAGGGTTTGCAATAACACTGCCCTCTGTCCAGGTAGTGTTAGCAGCCAATAAATAAAATTGTGGATGTTTTTGAACTGTATAATGATAAGAATTTGAATCTATATATTTTTATTATTATTATTACTATTAACATGAATTTCATAAGGGCATTTCAGTTAGAGCAGAGAGTGTAATTCTATTCAGCTGTGAAATTTTGTCATGTAGATTGTTATTTTTTACTTTCAGAACAGTCAAGATATGGAAGAAAATTCACTTTTTCTGACAGTTTCAGATTTTTATAAAAATGTCTGTATTTTCTGACTTTCACTCAGAAAAGAGAAGGCATAGTGTGAGTACAAAATACAAGCTAGGGAAGAAATCCAGATCATCAATACATTAAGAAGCAGAGACTGATGAACAGGGTGGCTTAAGTTAACATATATTATTCGACACTGCAGTTGTTTTGCCGTTTAGAGTAGTATCTTCTAGGCAATGGGCCAGACAATGTTCTCTGCACGGTAATGCCTTCGTGGACTTTCCTTTACACTGTTCTGGCAAGAAAGGGCAGCAGCTACCCATCAAAGGAAGAAAGATCAGACAAAAAGTAACTCTCTTATATCTGACACAAGGTAAAGGTCATCAGTATCTTGCATTACAGTTTTCCTGCTCCTTTTGTCTCAGAGATCTGGACGTAGTTGGAGTTCAGCAGTAGTGATACACTAAGGAGAAGAGACAGGCATGTTCGAGTTACTTGCTGAAAGGGCACTTCTTTCTTTAGACTCTACCTGTGGATCTGATTAATCTGGGATGGGAAAGAAAAGGGAAGGCGTATGCCCTACAACTACATTCATTTTCCTCTGCTGTATCTGAAATGCAAAAAAAAATTGTGTGCCTCTATTCAGATGCAGAAATTTCTCAGCAGTTTGTAACATCTGATCCCAAGAGGATGGTGAGCCATCTTCAGGTTCTGGGAAAGCTCACTCCATTTTTGAAGTAAACTAGACTGTCATATGCAGAGAATCCCCTGGACTTTATCTCAAAGAGTAGTAGTAATATGTACATTCAGAGTCTCATGTTGTTACTGTGTGCTGAAAAATATCCAACAGGAAGTGCATACATGATCCCGTCAGAGTTTGCATATCAGCATAATAAGCGTTCTATGCCATAAGCATTCTATGATTCTGTGATTTAGGGAACCTCCATAATGGAAAGCAACTTAAAAGATTGTATCTAGATAAGCCACCATTGTAATAAGAACTGTTGTCAGCACCTAATGCTTTACTACTACGGTTTAGATAAGCATTTTGCATGGAATTTTCTAATGTTTCATGGTAGAAACCTCCAGGCAGGGTCGAATTCCATCACTTGAAGTGTTTCCATACAAAAATGGCAGCTATTTCTAAAGAGGTTAGGCTAGCTTACATTCTGCCAGGGGCGGGATACATTGCAAAAGAACTTTTAACTTGAAAGTATAAAAACAAGAAGTGAAAAAAAAGGAACTATAAAAGAACAAACCTTCCAAACAATCAAAGATAAAGATTCCTTTGAAACTGCATGAAGTATGAACATGAAAATACAAAGTCTAGCACTCACAATGAGATACAGTTCTGCCTGCTTTCTTGCTCATTTTCTATTACCTAAGAAGAGGCAAGGCATTTAAATCATGTAATTTTACAGAATTTTATCTTCATTCTCTCCAGTAAGGAATGAGAACTTTTCATATCAAACAAACAAACAAAAAAAATCCATGTAATAAAAAAGCCAAGATAAATAATTTGCTGTCAGGGTAAATCGAAAAAGTTAATTCTTAAAAATCACATTGTCTAGCAAACTTCTAAACAAGGGTCACAAAAAAAGACTGCTCCATATTTCTCAGGTCCCAAAGAAGCTATTTCCTTGCACATGAATTCCCACGTCAGGGCGCAGCTTTTGTTTCCAGATACCCAGTGTGAGCAATGGCTACCAATTCTTACTGGCTAACAGTGATACTGCCAAGATATTTTTCTTTGCAGGTCACCAGAGCTGATTCTGATAATCTTTATGTATCTTGAGTTACCTTTCCTAAATAATTAGTCTTCTGGGCTTAATCTTGCATGTTGTTTCACATAATTATAATAACCTTATTAATTTATGTTGGTCTCTGTCTGGCTACAGGGTCACTACTGTGTGGCAGTGTGCAAGATTAGCAATTTGGAAATGTGCTTTTCCTAGTCACAGCTCCATTAATTTTTCAAACCTCTTTTAATTATTAGCCTAAATATCCTCTGTCCTCATTATATTATGTATCCTGACTCAGAGAGTTGCATAGTTCAGGATTATCCCTGGTCCATGCATAACAAAATGCATAGTTTGTACACTGGTATAATTAAAACACAAGTTTGACAAAACAACCCAAGCAGATGCATATATAGTTGGGATCTGGCCTGTGTGCCCAGACCTGTACCGTTCATTCCATACAGCTTTTGGAGTCTGTTAACACAGCAAGATTTTACATCTTGGAGAATAAACTAGAAGCAATAAACATACAAAGATAACACAGGTCTCTCCTTGTAATCTACAAATACAAATTCTGCTGGAGCATATTCATGATATGTTTGCATGATTAGCAAAAGGGGG